GGTCTATATCTCGAGACCCTAGTCACCCAGCTATATGAAAAGTGCTCTATCTTAAAGCATTCATGAACAGCTTTCATTTTATACCCATATTAAACAAATACATCCTAAGGTTACCCGGGTCCACGTTTTGGTCTGTATCTCGAGACCCTATTCACCCAGCTATATGAAAAGTGCTCAATCTTAAAGCATTCATGAACAGCTTTCATTTGATACCCATTTTGAACAAATACACCCAAGGTTACCCAGGTCCACGTCTTGGTCTATATCTCGAGACCCTAGTCACCCAGCTATATGAAAAGTGCTCAATCTTAAAGTATTCATGAACAGCTTTCATTTGATACCCATATTGAACAAATACACCCAAGGTTACCCAGGTCCACGTTTTGGTCTATATCTCGAGACCCTAGTTATTTTTTAAAAATTTTCTTTGCTACAAACCTCACGGAGCCCGAGCCCTTTCCAACGAATGCAAAACCGTGGGAATCGGTTTGGCGGTTCTTGAGTTATAAGATTACCAAGGAAATGTAACTTCTTTTTATATATATAGATTTCTCGTCTAAAATTTATTGTAAATATCAATTTTGAGTGAATAATCTTCAGTAGTTACTAAAATATCGCAGTTTTCGTATTTCTGAAAATTACCGTTATATGGGAAGTGGGAGTGGTTACAGTCCGATTTCGCCCATTTTCAATACCAACCTACCTTGAATGAATGGAAACCTACATACCAAATTTCGTTGAGATATCTCAATTTTTGTTTGAGTTATCGTGTACCTACACTGACGGACGTACAGACAGACATGGCTTAATCGATTTCTCTATTCATTCTGAGCATTTATGTATACATTTGTCTATATCTCTCTCGATTCGTTTTGGTTGTTACAAACAACAGTTATGTGAACAAAGTTAATATACCCTTGTGCACAAGTGCGCTCGGGTATAAAAACAGTGTTGACGCAAAGACGGAATACAATGGACACATTTTTGTGGGGTGCGGAGACGAATATGAGCACAGTATATACCGTAATAAACCTTTTCGAGTACTCCTCGGGCGTAAAGGCTGATCAGGGTTGATAATGAG